TTTGACATACCATTGTACAAGCTTCCATGAAAGCTGTACGGAAGCCGTGGGTCGGGTTCTGGGGCCAGCTTCCGTTTTGCTTCCATGGAAGCTGTCATGTGGGAGCCATTTAACACGACTTCGCCAAAAATGAAGCTTCCATGGAAGCCTGTTGACTACAAAGAAGCCCAAGCTTCCAGGAAGTCGCACATGAACATTTCCAACTGTCTTTCCGTGGACATTCCTGTAACCTCCATGAAACTCCCGTTGTTTGTCGTTCCACGGAGACCTCCATGGAAACTACATGCGACTTCCATGGAAGCGACACGCAGTTGTCAAGTAGTGTATGAGTTTGGAGAGACAGCGACGTCGGCAAGAGTCCGGGAAAGGGCGGAAAAGGCAGACAAAATATACACCACTGCAGGGATTAGAGTAAATATCTTATCCCAACACAAGCCGCTGTTGGTCCGATCGGCGAGAGCATCAAGAGCAGCGATGAGACGAGCGAGAGGTAGAGCTTTAGCATCGAGCGAGTTTGCCCGAGAGAGTGGCTGACTATACCAGCGCGGGAGACGCCCAGTTGCGCTTCTTGAGGGTCGCTATCTTCCTCTCGCTCTCAGGCATCTCGCTCCATACTCTCCGAAGGCACTACCGCCGTGTGTCTCTCGCTCAAGACCGGTGACAATCGATGGGCGTGTGTTTGTGGTTGGCTTTGCTCTCTCGGGCGTAGACGGACCACTTGGGCGATGGCGGATGCAGAGAGTCTGTCTGTCTGTCTGTCTGTCTTTCTTTCTGTCGCGCTTCTTCTCTGAGGGGGTGGAGACGGGGGCAGGAGTAGGAAGAGGTGGTTCCGCAGCAGCAGCAGCAGCAGCAGAAAAGATCGACCAACCAAAAACTGGCTGCCACGCTACCGACTGTGACGTTTCCCAAGCTCGAACGGCTCACAAAGCAGCTGCTTCGATTCGAACCAATCGCAAAAGATACAAGTACAAGGCTGTTGTTGCTTGGTGTAGTCCTGAGTCCGTCAACCAGCCGAGTTGGTCGGCTTTGACACAGGCGACATGGAGGCGTCGGCGAGTCATCCTTCCACCACCCCTGATATCTCGCGGAGGTTTAAGTATTCCCGGCGCCCCCCCCCCCCTCCCCCCCCCTGCCTGGTAGGACCCTCTGTACGTGGTGTCCGAGTTGCTGGGGGTTGCGGTGAGCAAGGAGAAGTTTAAGCGGGCCGCCAGGCTCAGGGACGCTAAGGACTGGATACTGAGAGAGAGGTGCGTATGTTTCGCTTGTTTCGCTTGCGGCACAACTTAGTGCGGAGTATTGCCGTCTCGCACATGCTTTTTGTGTAGGTGCGTCGATGGGATCGGTGGTAAATAGGGCGGGGCTCGACACGGACAAGGGGGGAGTCGTAGGCCAAGCGGGGAGACATAAGACCAGGGCGAAGACGTCACACAAGGGGGGAGACTAAAGATAATGGGAGAAGACGTGAGACAAGAGGGAAGGCATGAAACACGGGGAGAAGACGTAGACAATGGACAGGACGTAAGCCAAGGGGGGAAACATAAGACAATAGGGAAGGCTACATGTAAAGGCACGGGAGGAGACTTACGACTATGGGAGAAGACGCGAGACAAGGGAAAGGCATGAGACATGGGGAGAAGACGTAGACAATGGGATACGGCGTAAGACAATGGGGTACGGCAGAAGACATCGGAAGAAGACGTAGCGTACTGTAGCTGAAATAACAAACTAACCCAAATGACATCCCCGAGGTCTCTCCACGTCGTGGATGGAATTACTGCAAGCCGTCGGCACGTACCCGTCGTGCCATCACATGCACTTCACTTGAAAAAGGTCGGATGCTTGGTCATGTTCATTCGCAATATCTAATCGTAGAACAGGCATTGTGCGTGCAAATGCCCCGAGAGTCACTGATGATGTAGAGGTCATCGCGCTCGGGCCTCCGTTCTTCAAGGTTCCACACACATTTGAGGTTAAGATAGGCAGGCAGGGAAACTCTCTCCACCGGCAATAGTTTCACTGGACGTCTTTTCTCCTCCAACCACATTCATTCCTTGCACTACTCTCCTCATAACAACCTCTTCTCTGCCCGACACCGTTCTCTAGCCCTACATGAAACTGTTGTTCGTGAAGTCCACACGTTATGCTTGCCTTCCGCTTGCATAGCCCCCTGTGCTCAAGCGCACCAGTTTGTACCCACCCCGATCGCGTACGTATATTAAACCTTTTCCGTCTGCGTTGCCCGCCGTGCCCCCTGGTTTGTGTTGGGGTCCGTGTCGGCCCTCTCTGTCCCCGTTCCTTCCGCCCCGTGCGTATGCCAGCCGGGGGAGCGTGTTCGAGGTGGATCGGCTGGTGTGCCTGGGGGACAAGGCGTCCAACATCATCACCACGGACCCAGAGGGGGCTACCGTTCGCCGATTCCTCAGAAACGACCAGGTGTGCGCGGTGGATGTTGTTGTTGGTGGTGATGGGTCTCGTGTTTGGTGGTGCTATCGCTGGGGACGGTGGTCTGTTGTGTGCCGATGTGTGTGTTTGTGGCGGGGGTGATGGTAGTGTGTGTGTGTGTGTGTGTGTGTGTGTGTGTTGAACTGCACTACTGTTTCTGGGTTTTGTTAAGCATTCGATTTTTAGTTTTGACATGCACGCCAGAAACATAGCGTGGTGCCTTCCTTACCTATAACCCCCGATGTTTTCGAACGGATTTATATGTTCACTTGGCGGTCCCGAAGTTTTGACGCTCCCCCCTCCCCCCTTTTTTTTCTGTCATCAGGTGGCGGAGATTTCAAGGACGGGTCAAATCCAGCTGCCGGTGTGGTCGCCGGATGGGAAGATGGTGGCTTTCAGCGTTCTCAAGGCGGGGAGCGGGGGCGCGCCGATAGAGTCCGCCAAGATCCTCGTGTATCGAGAAACCGGCAGCCTCGTGGTAAGAGAGGGTGGGAGAGGGTACAGTATTTCCCAAAGATTTCTCAGGTCGGCACCGTTTTCGTTCGTGAAAGCGGATGGATGTGCTGTCGCTACTTCTGTTACGTTCAGCCTAGTAGCGTCGTGCAACGTCCTTCCCCCGTGATGTATGCTCTGGATGACCTAGCTTCCAAGTCCGTCATGTTACGGCTTACAGAGAAGGTCAAGGTTGTGCTCGACATGCGGATGCGGTTTTCGCTTCGAGGGACAAATACCAATGTTTCGGAGGGAGCGGTAGGGTAGGGTAGCACCTATATCATACCAATGCATTGGGCATGGGTAGCATTGGTGCTCGCTGGCTGTGTGTGTGTGAAGCTGTTGACGAGATTGCCGTCACCTCCTTCTGCCCCTCCGTCCACAAGCACCCTCGTGTAGCTGGTTGTCTCAAAATGCCGTTTTCCTTTGCAAGCCCGAAGGCGTCAACACGGAACGCCGACCTCTGCACCCCTCCCCCGTATCCCCGTCCATCGTCCCCACGTACGAATGCGCACGTATCTGTCCCCTCTCTTGAAACCTACCCCCCCCCCCCCCCCCCCCCCCCCCCCTCTACAGCTTGATGTCGGAGTTCCGCGGGCCCCCTTCCTGCTCATGTGGTCACCCAGCAGCCAGAGCCTGACGTACCTCTCCAACTCGGAGGGTCCAGGGGGTGCAACGATCAGACTGTCGGAGATTCTGGTAGCTGCGGCGAAGTCTCCCTACAGGACCAAGAGTGAGAAAACACCCCCCTCTCCGTGTGTGTGAAGCTGCGGCCCGTTACTGGCGCGCCTGTCTGTGGTAAATAGGCTCCCCGCTGCTGTCTCTCGCTAGAAAAAGCCACCAGCGGTGTAGTGCTTTGTGTAAGCAGAAGCATGTCTCTCAGCACGAGCTCGCATGGTGCATCCAGGCGTGTCGTTACGAAAGGAGTAACAGTGCTGCTGCTTCCGCTTGCCGTCCCCCTTCCTCGAGTGGGCTCATCCCTCGGGATTGACCCTCGCACACTGCTGGGTGATGGAGTGTTGGTTATGATTTATTTTTGCTGTTAATTGCCAGACGAGTCTATCGTGAAGGGCATACGCTGACTCGCATCCGCCCGTCAATGATTTGCTGGTGCTGGCAGCACGTGGCCTTGCCCAAGGCAACCCGCTGTTCTACGCGTACACCAAGAAGGACTCGAGGAACGCGGACATGGTGGTACACACCGCAAACAGGCGAGTGATCAGGCGGGGAGAAGGAGGACGAGGAGGCGTGTACTCGTGAAAATGGCGTCTGGCCGTCTTGCCGTGGCTTGTCCTGCACCTTGCGATAGTGCGGCAAGATCAATTTCTAGCCTGAGATATCGGTTGGTTCGTTGCGGGAATCTCATGGTGCACCCTGGGCTTTTTGATTTTCATGGTCTGTGTCCGCAGGCCTCTTGTGTACCGTCTTCGTGACAGTACCGTGTTCGTGGCGCCCATCATCGAGGCCCCCGCTTGAAGTTTTGTCCCTCTTCTCGGCTTTCCTTTCGGTCGCTCCCCCGGAAGGGATATCGACAGGACGAGAAAAAACATTTGTGACCCACCTTGGGCAAGGCACGATTGGCCATCAATCCTCCTGTAGGAGCAATCCTCCGTCCTCTCGACGACGCGTGGTCGATGATATAACAACTAAAAGGCATATTAGGCTGCAAAACATGAAAACGCCCCCCCCCCCCCCCCC